AGGTTGATATTAGAAGTTAATTAAAATCAACCATTTTGCATTTATTTTATTTCGTGAAAAATTTATCTTGCTAATGTGAAATGGTGTGATATATATATATATACACCTATATATAAGTACCTAGCTATTTACTCGCGTACATTTAGCTCCGACAAGAAAAGGGACTCTGACTTAAAACCCTCTTAGTAAATACCGATAGCGCTACGGCGAGGGTAAGAGAGAGGGGAAGAGGGACCATAGCTTTCGCGGTTAAGGCGAATTACCATCGGCCTACGAATACCAAAGCTTTTTCGAAATACCATGGAAGAGTTTGCTATAACGTCGAGGGGAAAAAAAAGCGATAGGAAGGCGAGGGATTTTTCTTTCTTATATGTGCGTGTATTTTTTTGTTTTCCTCTCTGACCTCTCTCTCTCTCTCTCTCTCTTTCTCTATCGTTTGGACAAATAGTGGAAAACGTTAGCGTGCTATGGTGGTGCACGAGAAAGCGAGGAAGAAATTCTAACACACAAACGAGCTTCTTCTTACCGATTTTCTACCGACGCTCCTTTGCTGCCTCGCCATTTCGAGTTAAACGAGCTCGTTATGCATATCGTGTGCCGCATGACGCATAAGTACACACGCAACATGCCGTTCTCTTTCTCTCTCCCTTCCTCTCTCTCTTTCTCTCTCGTTTTTGCTCGACTAGAAAGACAACGAGACGGATGAGAATAAATCTGTTTGTTGCGTCGAAAAAAAAAGGTGGATAGAAGACAAAGAGGCGTGGAGATAAGAAGTTAGAAGGATAGAGAGAGAGAGGGAGAGGGAGGGAGGGAGAAGGGGACAACAAAGTCTCGTCGATAAGTTTCCACGGTGCGACTAATCGTAGGGAGATATCACGAGTCTTTCGAGTTGATGGATCGGTCGACGTCCTTCATCTGACGTTTCTATCTCCGACACGATGCATCACGATAGTTTAAGGATTCCCTCGTTACGATCGTCTTCGTATTCGATAGAGAAAGGGAAAGAGAAAGAAAGGAAGGAAAATGAAAGGAAAGGGAAGAAAGAGAGAAGGAGAATAGGGTTTCTAATTAACGCGGGTAACTGCTCCCTTCGAATATCGAAGCGAACACGCACTACCTTTTCTTATCGAATTAACGGTGTCACACTTCTGCGAAAGAATTATTTCTGATAAGTTGGACTTGCACGAAAGCGGAAGCAGTTTTCTAATATTATAATAGAGAAAAATTTTATTCGAGTAAGTAAAGATAATGGGTTTGCAAGACGACGACGAATGCACGCGTGCATATATATATATATATATATATATATATATATAAAAACGCACATAACGTTTCGAACTTAACGTTGAAAAGTTTAAGAGACGTTTTGTAAGTTTGAGAACGTTTAAAGTAACACGATCGAGATTCGAGAGATACCTTTCGTTCGCGTTGCTTCTGCTTGGTTATAACGCCTGAGGGCCAACAGATAAATACTCCGTTAAGAATTCATGTACGATAAATGCCTTACTATCAACCAGATACGCAGACATTCTCGATGGATGACGACGAAGACGACGTGAAAGAGGAGTTTCAAGTTTATCTTTATTGGATTCCGTTAATTCGTTTCCGGAAGTAATTAAACGTCTGGAACGGATTTCATTGTCGGCGAATGACTCAAAGCGGAAGAAGCATTTCATATTATTCGAATTACGTTTCCAGTGTCGTCTCTCGTATACACCAAGGCGCGACCATATTCGTTCACTTTTTCCTAACGCGGAGGATCTTCGACAAACCGGTTTTCTCATTAATCATTATCGTATATCTTCTCGCTAGTAACGAATGCGACCTGTGTGCGCTTGCTGCTCTTCCTCACACTCTTTCTCTTTCTTTCCCTTTCACTCTCTCTTTCTCTCTTTCACTCTACCTTTCTGCTTCTGTACAAGTGGCAAATAAATTGCCCCCGACTGCATCAATTTTAATGTCAATTAGATTGTTCGAACCGTAATCACTCTCCTTCAGTGAACGCGTAACTACATTTTGCCAGGGCCGATGGACGCTCGTTGTTGCGTAATTTGTAATCCTTCGGGTAAATTAGTCGGCGAATCGTTCGTCATAAATCGTGATTACTTTTTTTTTTCCTTATTTTCTTTTTCTCCCCTCTCTTTACGTTTTGTTTTTGTTTTTTCTTTCTCATCCTTTCTCACATTTCTCCCAATGAGAGGGGTTTGAGGGAGACAGGGGAAGAGGAGAAGTATCGTAAATATGATCGTATTCTTTTTCGCTTGTTGCCTTTCCGTTAATGTATAAAATTATAGGGATACCATAGACAATAGGATTTATTTCGACGATCGAACGAGAACTCGAATGAACGAGCTAGGGAGAGAGAGAGAGAGAGAGAGAGAGAGAGGGAGGGAGAAAGTGAGAAGAGTCTAGTATTATTTGTTTCGCTTTTCGTGGAACGTTACGGCAATCTGTCCTAATTTAAGATAGTTTGGTCTCTCGCGAAGAAACGAGTGGCGATAGAGAAGCCAAGTGTGCACGTTCCTATGTACATGTGAAGTATTCTCGTGCGTTTATGTATGTATGTATGCATGCA